CATCTATATTCATGAGAGATGTTGGTCTGTAATTTTCTTTTTTTGTGGAGTCTTTTCCTGGTTTTGGTATCAGGGTTATGCCGGCTTCACAGAATGAATTTGGAAGTGTTGCTTCCTTTTCCATGTTCTGAAATAGTTTGAGAGTACTGATACAAGGTCAGAGCTTAGTCTTATTGTTTCTCCTTTGTAGTGACAATTCGTTTTTCTTGAGCTGCACTCAGGATTCTTTCTTTGTCTTTGGTTTTGGAGAGTGTCATTATGATATGTCTTGGTGACTTTCTTTTGGGTTGTATCGTATACGGTGTTTGTTCAGCTTCTTGGAGGGTCAGCTTCTCATCTTCATAATATTGGGGAAGTTTTCTGTCAGCAAATCCTCTCTGTGTTTTCTATTTTCTTCCCCTGTTCTGGAACTCCTATCACATGGAGATTTTTGCTCTTGATTTTATCCCACATTATTCTCAGGTTTTCTCCTTTATTCTTCATTATTTTCTCTGATTTCCCCTCAAACGTAGTGGTATCCAAGGATTTGTCTTCAATTTTGCTAATCCTGTCTTCCATTGTTTCAAATTTGCTCCTAAAACCTTCTATTGCACTGTCCATTTTTGAAATCTTGTTGTTTATCTTTTGGATTTCTATTTGATGTTTTTCTATGATTTCTAGTTATTTATTTTTTTACTTTTTGTTCCTGAATTCTTTGTTTTGTCTGCCTTTTCAATGCTTTTGTCTGTATTTTCCATGATTTTTGCCTATTTTTTCCTTATTTTTGTCTGCATTTTCCTTCATCTCTTTCCTAATCTCTTGGACAGTCCTGAACATTAGACTTTTAAATTCCCTATCAGGTAATTCCAGTGCCTCTTCTTGTACCAGAAGGCAATCTAGTGTTTTATTTTTGTTGCTTTCTTGAGACATCCTGTCCTGTTTTTTAACATGCTTTGATATTGTCTGCTGTCTCTGGGATATTCAGGAATTATTTTCTTTGTTTATTGATTGTAGATTTGTTTGTTTCGTCTTGCTTTTTTGTTTTATTTGGTTATGTCTGGGCAGGTGGCCTGGGTGTGTTTTGTTCCTTGCTTATCTGTGGACACAGTACTTACCACCTTGTCTGGGTGCACAGGGGCAGTTTCTCAGCTATGGTGCATCAGGGCAGGTGCAGATAGGGGGAGGAGCAGGAATGGGTCATTTATGGCATGAACTGGGGCTGACAGGGCTAGGCCAGGGGCAGTGTGAGTGCAATCTAGGAGCCTCGGGGTCTGCACTGGTGGCACTCAGAGTTGCAACCCTTGGCACACTGTGCAGATAGGAGGGAAGGGAAAGGATGAGATGTGTGGAGCTAAGTGGGTGAGAGAAAGAAGAGAGAGAAACAGAAGCAAAAAATATTCAACAAAATAATGAAAAAAGAAGCAAATAAAATGGTAGCATGGTAGGATTCAGCAGGTGGGGGCAGGGTAGACCTGGGGAGATCATGTCAGTGGTTCTCTAGCTGAGTGGTGCAGGACAGCCCGTGGAGAAGTGGGGCGTGGTACATAGGGCTAGGTGGGTGAGAGAAAGGAATAGAAGGAAAGGGGAGAGAAAGAAGAAACAAAAAGAAAACAGAAAAAACATACAGTAGTGCTGAGGGAGCTGGTCAGTGACAGTGGCGCAGACCTGGGAAGCTATGTGCCGGTGGCTCTCTAGCCAAGCAGTGCAGCACAGCCCTTCAAGAAGGTGTGGGAGTGGAACACAGGGCTAGGTGGGTGGGAGAAAGGAAAGGAAGGAAGAAGGAAGGGAGAGAGAGAGACAAAAAAATGGAAGAAAAAAAAGCAAGCAGACTAAAAAAAAATATGGCATTGAGGGAGTTGGCTGGTGGGGGTAGCGCAGACCTGGGGAGGCCATGTGCTGGTGGCTCTCTAGCCAAGCAGTGTGGTAAGGCCCTTTAAGAAGGGGCAGGGACAGTGCACGGGGTTAGGTGGGTGGGAGACAGGAAAGGAAAAGAGAAAGAGAGAAAAAACATACAAACAAAAAACAAACAAAGGGAGAGAGAGAAGAAACAAACAAACAAACAAACAAACAAAAAAATATGGCACTGAGGGAGCGAGGCACAGACCCGGGAAGGCTGTGTCCCAGTGGCTTTCTAGTTAAGCAGTGCAGCACAGCCCGTCAAGAAGAGGTAGGTATGGCACATGGGGCTAGGTGGGTGGGAGAAAGGAAGGGAAGGAAGAGACAGAGAGAAGAAAAAAAGAAAGAAGCAAACAAACAAAATAAATAAAAAATTTTAAAAAATGGAGCTGAAGGAGCTGGCTATTGGGGGTGGCATAGACCCAGGAAGGTCATGTGTCAGTGGCTCTTTAGCTGAATGGTACAACACTGCCCTTCGAGAAGGTCTGGGTGGGTCACACAGGGCTAGGTGGGCAGGAGAAAGGAAAGGATGGAAGGGGGAGGGAGAGAAGAAACAAACCAAAAAAAATGGCACTGAGAGACCCAGCTGGTGGGGGCGGCATGGAACTGGGGAGGCTGTGCTGGTGGCTTTCTAGCTGAACTGTATGGCATAGCCCATCAAGAAGGGGCAGGGATAGAACACAAGGCTAGCTGGGTGGGAGAAAGGAAAGGAAGGAAGGAGAAGAGAGAAAAGAAACAAAAAAGCCCAGGTCCCTGTGTGGCATAAATGGTTAAATGTTTGACTACTAACTGAAAGACTGGTTGCTTGATCCCACCCAGAGGCACCTTGGAAGAAAATCCTGGTGATCTGCTTGTGAAATGGAGCAGTTCTACTCTGCACAGGTGGTCTCCATGAGTTGGAACCAACTTGACAGCAATGGGTTTGGTTTTGGTTGGACATCTGTCAACCCGGAAAGCACTAACAGCTGATCACAACCGTCCCATTTACCTCCTCTCTCCCTTCCATGTCCAGCCCTGGAGGAACCCAAAACAGCAGCTTTGAGTAGAGGAAGGCATAGAGCAAAGAAAGAGACCTCATTATGTCCCTCTCCTCTGCAGCTGACCTCCAAGCCTGGAGCAGGTCTTGGCTAGGAGAAAGGAAAAGACTTCAATTGGATAACAGATTGGAGTTGCCATATTTCATTGGACTGGAAAGAATATTCAATTTTAGACTAGACTGAACTTTTTACTATCCAAGAGAGACTATGAAAGCTATATAGCCAAGATCATGCTTAAGATTTCATCCAGAGACAGAGAAGTCCACAGAACAAGTATGAAGTGGCAGTTAAAAAAAAAAAGAAGAAAAATTTGTTTCTGCTTGCACCCTACCAAATTTAACTCCTTCTATATATGTCATATATTATGGTGTAACTATGAGTCATCCTTACACTTATTGCCAAAGTAGACATATTCACAGTTCTTCTCATCGGTGCTTTTACAGTGGCATTTGATTGTTTCTGTTTCTACAGAAAAGTGGGCAGTATGAAAATTTTGCAACCACTGGTCCAGGGATATACCCACCAAGCAGACCAGTATTCTATGTTTCAGGACATCTTCTCCCTTTCAGAGGAAAAGCACAGTGCACCAAGTCTACTATTTAGCAACTCTCTCTCTCTCTCTTCACCTCCACCCCCTCAGCCTCATATAGGTATTTAGATAACAGCTTTTGAAATCTCTGGCATTGGAGCACAGTGGAAGGCACCCAGGCTCTGGATGGTCTTGGGTTCACCATCTTGTATGAGAGCACATGGCACCTGATAGATAGATAGATGATAGATAGATAGATAGATAGATAGATGATAGAGAGAGAGAGAAAGATAGGGAGATAGAGATAGACAGCTGCTGTCAATTCAACTCCAGTCCATGGCAACCTTATGTACAACAGAACAAAACGTTGCCTGGTCCCATGTCATCCTCGTGATCACCAGTATGTTTGAGTTCATTGTTGCAACTACTGTGCCAATCCATCTCTGAGGATCTTCACCCTCACTGGCCCTCTACTTCCCAAACGTGTTGTCCTCCTCCAGCAATTGATCCCTTCTGATGTGTCCAAAGCAAGCGAATAGGACAATATTCTGTTGGGATCCATAGGGCTTTCATTGGCTAACTTTGGGAAGTAGATCATCAGTCCTTTCTTACTAATCTGTCTTAGTCTGGAAGTTCCACTGAAACCTGCTCACTATGGGTCACCCTGCTGGTATTTGAAGTACTGATGGCATAGTTTCCAGCATAACAATATGCAAGTCATCACAGTACAAGAAAATGACACAGGGTGAAGCACATGATAAGTGTTAGCTAAATAGTGGCTAAAGTATTATGGCATGATCTTCTCTCAGACGGAGCCCTACCCCAATGACTAAGTTCTACCATTTCCATATTGGTTCTTCTTAACTTCATTTTCATTGGTGGCATTTTCTGACCTGTCCCTAATTCTGGAAGAGTTTGGGGCTCGTAACTCCCCAGTTACTACACTCAGCACTCTCTTTCTTGGACTTTTTCTTTGCCTGCAGCTGCAAATGCTTTGAAAGGCCCAAGGCTGGTCTCTGGGGAGCCTGGGGGAGCTGTCGACATCAAGTGTCATTATACCTCCACTTCTGTCAACAGGCACCAGAGAAAGTACTGGTGCCGCTTGCGTCCCCCAAAGTGGATCTGCCACACCATTGTGTCCACCAACCACTACACTCACCTTCGCTACCATGGCCGCGTGGCTCTAGAAGACTTCCCACAGAGCAGCTTGTTTGTGGTGAGGCTGTTTCAACTGTCCCCAGCTGATGAAGGGTACTACCGCTGTGGCATTGGAAACAGAAATGACATGTTTTACTTCAGTGTGAATCTGACCGTCTCTGCAGGTAGGAGCCAGTGGCTGGTGGGGCAAGCTTGGCGAAGTAAGTGCTAGGAAGGAGAAGGTGGAAGAGGAGGCTCAGAGACCCAGGAGAACTTTAAACACTTGGGGAGTGATGATGAGCAGCTGAGGTTAAGGCAAGGACTTGAAAAAGCACACTTTCATTTTAGAAGTTCTATCAGGTAGAAGAGGCTCTGATGGTGTGGTGGTTAAGAGCTCAGCTGCCAACCAAAAGGTCAGCAGTTCGATTCCACCAGCTGCTCCTTGGAAACCCTGTGGGGCAGTTCCTCCTCTGTCCTATAGGGTCACTATGAGTCGGAATTGACTCAACGGCAACAGGTTTGGTTTTTGGGTTTGGATCAGGTAAATAAGAAGCCCTGCTGGCGGAGTGGTTAAGCACTCGGCCATTAACCAAAAGTTCATCAGTTTGAGCCCACCAGCCACTCTGTGGGAGAAAGATGTGGCAGTCTGCTTCCATAAATATTACAGCCTTAGAAATCCTACGGGGCAGTTCTACTCTGTCCTATAGGGTCATTATGAGTCGGATCAACTTGACGGCAATGGGTGGTGCAAGCAGTTAATACATTCGATTGTTAACCAAAAGGTTGGAGGTTTAAGTCCACCAGAAGCATCTCAGAAGAAAGTCCTGGTGATCTACTTCTGAAAAATCAGCCTTTGAAAACCTTATGGAGCACAGTTCTACCCTGACACACATGGGTCACCATTAGCTGGAGATGATTATTCGGCAACTGATTTGGGTTTTTTGGATTTTTTTTAATCAAGTGGATATTAGGAAAAACTTCCCAGCGGAATGCTCGTAAGCTCTCCTACCCAATTTCCCCTCCAAACATTGTAGAATCTATGTTTGTAAACAGTTCTGAGAAGGTAGTGAATTGAATAACGTAGTCTCCTGTGGGTCATGATGTCTCAGGGGTCTGACGTGCAGAGGAGGAAGCACTGTAGAGCAGGCAAGACAGGCAGGACAGCTAAGGTGCAGTGACAGAGGAACTGGGACCAGGCTCTTCCTACAGCAGACCCTGACTGAGCCCCTTACTAGGCATCTGGCAGCCGCCCAGTCTATCGCCATTGGGTGAGGTTCCAGAAAGTGGATCCAGAGCCAGGCACCCAGAGAATGAGTGAAGCACATCCCAGCTGTGAAAGGTCACTCTACAGAAGAGATGGCATGCAGGAAGCAGCCAGGCGCTTATGCCCAAGTGTGGATTTGTTTTATTAGATGTTGCCTTCCAGCTGTCTGCTGAGATTGGCTGCTCTGCTGGAACTGAAGTTTTTCTTTTTTGAAGAGCTGTACATGGTGGGCTGTGGGCCTCTGGGGAAAGGGGTAGTATGGGGTCCTGGATAGCTGGGTGGAGAGATGTGGGCATGAGAGGGGAGATAGGAACAGAAAAATGTCAAATTTGCAACAGACTAGAGAATGCATCTAGGTTTCCCAGATTTTTACTTTATCCAACATATTGGCCAAAGACTGCATCTCTTAATAGGTTGCATTCAATTTAGCAAATATTTTAAACCAGATGTTCTTTGCTAAACCTAGTAGGTGGCCTGGAAAGCCTTCCCCTGTGGTCTCCTTCTGCTGTTCCTGCAGGTCCTTCCAGCACCATCACCACAGCCACTCCAGCTGCTAGCAAGCTTATCACGAGGTCCTTGGCAACAGCATCTCCAGTGGCCAACAGATGGACCCCAGGAACCACTAGGACTATAGAAGGGCAGGGGACAGGATGGGACAGAGTTGTAGTGACTCCAGGAACCAGCAAAACAACAGCTTCAGCTAAGGGAGGACACACCCCAGGAATAATAAGGGCAGTAGCTCCCAGGACAGGCAGCTGGGTAGAAGGGTCTATCAGAGCAACAGTTCTCAGCCCAGAGAGTAGGGCTTCAAAACTTACAGTCACGTTAAATACAACAGAAGACGTTTGGGTGTGGGGCACCACAAGCTCAGTAGCAAACAAGGCTAGGGTGAGCGAGGAAGCGAGGAAGACAACTCCCAAGGTTGATGGGCCAACAGAGGAAACAAGGAGGGTCACACTAGCCCCAGATGCAACCCGGAATGTCACAGGAATCATTAGGCCATCAGCCCTGGTCTCAGAAAAATGGGCCTGGGAAACCCTTCGAAAAGCAACATCAGTTTCTAAGCAACCAGCTCTGGGCTCCACTGAAGAAACAACCCCAGCTGCAGATGTGTGGACCTTGGGAACCACCAGCATAGAGATGGCAACTGAAGAGGGAAGCACTGAAGGGGACTTGGCGTCCACTGCAAACCGTGGTCCCCAAGCAACGTCGAGCCAGGTCCCAGCAGCAGGGCGCCTGAGACTTCATGACAAGGGGTCTTCCGTGAAGAGGTAAGAGCCCAGGCCCCTCTCCTCAGTTAGAGCTCTGGCTCTGCCTCGCCCCATGGTATGCCCTTTGATGAGCTGACCTCTGCACCCCTCTCCTTCCTCTCAGTCTCCCTTTGTACCCACAAGGCAGAAAAGGACAGGGATACAAAAATCAGACACCCTTCCTCAGTCCAGGGTCCCTGCTGTGAAAATGCTACCTGAGTATTTTTAGGTGGCTTTCAAGCAAAATCTAAATGACAGACTGACAGAATATTTCAGCTGGAATCTTAGGGACTTTTTTAATTATTTGAAGACGAGGAATGGAGGCTCCAGAGAGAGGAAGTAACTTGCTAAAGCCACAAGGAAAGATTGGGGAGGGCCAAGTGGGAGCCTGGGTTTCCTGGCTCTCACTTGGGCCTCCTTCCCACTGGGGTACCCAGTGAGGCCCATGCAGGACCTGCAGGCAGGGGTTCTAGTCCCTGCTCTGCCACCAACCAGAGAAGAAGCCAAGGCAGCTGACTTCTCTTCTGCATCTCTAAAACAAGGGGCTTGGGTCAAATGGTCTTTAATTTTCTTTCCAACTCCAACCTCCCCTCTCCTGTGCTCTCTCCCCATCTCCACCCTGCTCCTTCCACCCCAGTTCTCTTCCAGAAGAGAAGAGTGTCTCTCAGGTCCTGCCTCCGGTCTCCACAGTGCTGCCCCTGGTTGTGCTTCTGGCTCTTGCTCTACTACAAAGGAAGCTCTGGAGAAAGAAGTTCTGTGAGTTGACTTTAAGTCTCTCCAAGGCTGGGAAGGAGAGCGCTCGTTTCCACCTTACACCCTTAGGGGTGGGTGGAGTCAGAGGGTACCAGGTCTTGTGGATATGAGTTGATTTTCAACTCATAGTGACCCTATGTGACTGAGTAGAACTGCCCCATAGGATTTTCTAGGCTGTAATCTTTATGGGGAGTCCCTGGGTGGTGTAAATGGCTAAGCACTTGACTACTAACCTAAAGGTTGGCAGTTCGAGCCCAGCCAGAGGTGCCTTGGAAGACAGGCCTGGAGAGCTGCCTTGAAAACCTGTGGAGCACAGTTTAAGAAGCCCTGCTGGTGCAGGGGTTAAGTGTTCAGCTGCTAACCAAAAGGTTGATGATTTGAACCCATCAGCCACTCTGCAGGAGAAAGATGTAGCAGTCTGCTTCTATAAAGATTACAGCCTTGGAAACCCTATGGGGCAGTTCTACCTTGTCCTGTAGGGTCGCTGTGAATCCGAATCAACTCGATGGCAACAGAGTTTTTTTTGGTTAATCTTTATAGGAGCAGATTGCCTGCCAAGCACTTAACCATTGCACCATCAGGGCTCCTTGGATATGGAAGAGCTAAATTCTAGTCTGAGCCATTTTACCTCTCTTGGCCTTAGTTTCTTTAACAATCAAATGGAGAAAATCATCTTTGTCTTTACTTCTCATTGGCATCCCAGAGCTCAGGGAGAAGCTCTTTGGACGATGGTAGGGCATAATGCTAACCCGTAGGCATTGAAACCACATAAGCAACCCCAGCAGCACTCAGGAGGCGTGCAGGGCCCAGACGTGGGGCCAAACTCTGCATTTGCACCCTCTGCACGGCCGAGCTGAAACCTTCCTGGAGCAATGTGCCAGCTTCAAACATTCCTGAAGGGGGTGCTCTGTGGTGTTGAGACGTGGTGAGGAACGGTGAGGTCTTCCGGGAGCAAATGGGGAAGGCTAAGATTCTCAGACCCAGAGCCCCAAAGACCAGTCTAATCACTGCTGATCTGAGGGCTCAGTTGCTAGTCTTCTGAGTGAAGCCTGGCAGTGGGTGGGAGTGGGGGGATCAAATCCAGCAGCCTCCACATCCAGCACCCTCAAGGCCTACTCTGTGTCTGTGCAGCTCAGGAGGCAGAAAAGGCAACATGGGTCACCCTGATCCAGATGCTACGTTTCTGGGAGTCAAGCTCCTCACCTGACCAGCTGCCCCACATGGAAAGGAAGATGCTGCAGGATGGCTCATGTCATACCCGTGTCAGCCTGCCCATCGCGGCGAGGGACCCCAGGCCCTGAGGAATGGAAGGAGAAGTTGCTCAGCCACCATGGCATAGCAAGACAGGACATCTCCACGACCCCACCCTCTCCCCCTCATCTTCCTCCATCTATAAGGAGGGAGCTAATGGGACTGGGCTCCATCCGGACAAGCAGAGGCTGGCAGAGTATGGGGGTAATTGGTAAATCATCCTTGGGCCTAAGAAGGTCAGGCATTGTACACAGCCAAAGGTGACAGAATGACTTAAAGAGGCTTCTAGGAAAGGTTTATTAGACACGGAAGGAGGGCACCTAGGAAAAGTGTAGAATTTCCATTCCTGGAGGTTTGAAAATATAAGAGGCTTCCAATCCGGGTGGAGAATTACCCAGCCTCAGTCACGATGCTCAGCCTTGCTGGACTCCCCCCGTCAGGACTCGGTCTGCTCCACACATTTTTATTACACCCGCCCTTGTGTCACTCACTGCTGTTTCAGGCACACCAGACTTGCCTTCTCAAGCAGACTTTACGCTCCTTTGGGGCAGCGATTGTGTTTTATCCATCTCACTATGTCCCCGGGGAATTTCCAACTCAATACGAAAACAAACCAAACCCATTACCATGGAGTCAATTCCGAATCATGGTGACCCCATGTGTTACAGAGTAGAACTGAGCTCCATAGGGTTTTCTTGCCTGCAATCTTTATGGAAGCAGGTTGCTAGACCTTTCTTCCCTGGTGCTGCTGGGTGGGTTCGAACTGCCAACTTTTAGGTTAGTAGGGGAGCACAAACCATTGGCTCCACCCAGCATCCTTCCCCAACTCAGTAGAACCCCAGTAAATGCTGGCAATTGATTGGTCAACTGGAGGGCATGGGCTGTGACCCCTGGAATCACTCCCATGCAGATGCTCTGAATCCCCCAGCTTCTGCCCTATCATGTGCAGTCCATAGGATGACCACAAAGGCAGGTGGCCAAAAGGAAGAACACCCGTTTCTCAAACCATTGCTTCTCACTTGGTCCTGTCCTCATATGCCACTTGGTGTTGGCAATCAAGGGCCACTTGTTGCTCCAAACCCTCAGTAACGGCTATGGGACAGCAGGGGTCCTGGAAGGGACTGGATTTTTCAGTCAGTTACACTAGCCCAGACCTTTTGACTCAGTCACAAATTTCTGGGATTTTCCTAAATTCATGGAAAAGGAGGGTATTTTTCAGTAGAGTCACACTTTCTTCATAAAGATCTTCTTGTTCAACTGCCTATAAATCCTTGACAGCAAGGACCATAGATAAAGCTGGGAATTTTTTTTGGGGGGCGGGTGCGGGGATCAAAAAGAAGGCAGAGTAATTTTATGTGGATTCCATTTTACCTTATGCCTGTTAGGGGACTTCCTCTCCATCCTTGGTCCAACTGTCTTTTCAGGAATCACATCTGATCATTTATTTTGCCAGATCTGTTGGTAAGCTGTCTAGACTCCATGTTTGAGCAGGGAAGACTTTGAGCTGCGGAAGCAGAAGAGAAAGAAAGTTTCCAACATAGAGTCGAGAATCGTCAGGCCGACACTCCCAGAGACCTCACTGCCCCCTCCTAAGGTGTTAGCAGCACCAGAAACCCTTTATTTACACCTCCTCAGACCTGGTACTGAACCAGATACTATACTAGGAAAATCAAGGAGACAGAGCTTCATGCTTTGTGAGACAGACATGCTGTCTTGAATTAGTCGGGAAGTTACCTTCATCTCACCAAACAGAATCCGAGAATTTCAGAGCTCATAGGTTCTCAGAGATTAATTAGTCCAGTATCCTCAGTCTGGAGTCCCTGGGTGGTCCAAAGGGTTAACACTCAGCTACTAATGGAAAGGCTGGAGGTTCGAGTCCACCCCGAAGCACCTCGGAAGAAAGGCCTGGCGATCTGCTTCAAAAAATCAGCCCTTGAAAACCCTATGGAGCATAGTTCTAATTTGATGCACGTGGGGTCACCATGAGTCAGAGTCAACTCAACAGCAACAAGTTTATCTTTAATCTAACCAAACCAGTTACTATTGAGTCGATTTTGACTCATGGTGACCCCATGTGTTGCAGAGTAGAACTGTGCTCCCTAGAGTTTTTAATGGCTGTGACTTTTCAGAGGCAGATCACCAGGCCTTTCTTCCGAGGCACCTCTGGATGGGTTTGAACTGCCAGTCTTTTGGTTAGTAGTCGAGCACCTAACCATTTGCGCCAGCCTGGGACTCCACCTTTAGTCTAGAGGTGAGGTAACTAAGGCTTAGTTGGGGGAAGTAACTTGTTTAAAGTCACTCAGTTACACGAGTACGACAGCCTCCACCAGGCTTAGTCCAGCACAACTAGATGGTGCCTGGCTACCACCAACTGCTCTGACCGGGATCACAATAGAGGATCCCAGACAGAGCTGGAGAAAAATGTAGAACAAAATTCTAACTCACACACAAAAAAAGACGAGACTTACTAGACTGACAGAGACTGGACAAACCCCAAGAGTATGGCCCTCAGACACCCTTTTAGCTCAGTACTGAAGTCACTCCTGAGGTTCATCCTTTAACGAAAGATTAGACAGGTCCATAAAACAAAACAAGACTAAAGGGGCACACCAGCCCAGGGGCAAGGACTAGAAGGCAGGAGGGGACAGGAAAGCTGGTGATGGGGAACCCAAGGTTGAGAAGGGGAGACTGTTGACGTGTCATGGGGTTGGTAACCAATGTCAGAAAATGTCATTAATTGTTTAATGAGAAGCTAGTTTGTTCTGTAGACCTTCATCTAAAGTACAATAAAAAAATAAATAAAGTCACGTAGTTACCCCACTTACTAGTAATGGAGTGAGGACTAGAGAAGGAAACTCACCATATTGGTCTTGGCCCTTTCCACTGCCCCATGCTAAGCAGTGTATCAATGCATAACTAATTGTCAAAGAGTAATGATACTAGGGTTGTGTCTACAGATCATTTTCATGCACACCATCTCAGTGATTTGCCCCAAAAGCCTATAAGAAAGATAGGACAGACGTCATTATCCCATCAAGCAACGAGGAAACAGGCCCTGAGAGTTACGTAATTCAGCCAGGTCACCTAGGCAATTAGCGGCAGGGACAGGCTGAGAACCCAAGTGTATACGTTCGTTCCACCTAACCAATATTTTCCAGGGTGTCCACAGAATGCTAGATTCTCAGGATATTAAGAGGTATTCTGAGGAAAAGAAGCATTGGTATGTCAAAGAAATTTGGGAAATACTGAGTTAATAACACACAGGTTCTTCTATGCAGGATTTTCCCAGGACATTAACATACTAGGAGTCCTTGGGTGGTGCAAACGGCTAACATGCTCCACTGCTAACCAAGAGGTTGGAGGTTTGAGTCCACCCAGAAGTGTCTCAGAAGAAAGGCCTGGTGATCTACTTATGATGAATCGGCCATTGAAAACCTATGGAGCACAGCTCTACTCTGACACACATGGGGTAGCAATGAGTTGATTCCAACTTGACAGCAACTGGCTTGGTTTTGGTTAATATACTAAGGTGCATTGTGAATAGCCAGGGGGTAGGGATATTATGAGCGCTTCCCAAGAACATTGGGCTATTATGTTTTGGTGAAGAAATCTCACGGGACTGGAGCTCCTCAACTCACTCTTCGTTTGGGAAAACTTGATGCGCTAAACCAGAGGTTGGCTAACTTTTTCTGTAAAGGACAAGATAGGAAATATTTTCCGCTTTGCCATCTCTCGCCACTACTCAACTCTGCTGCTCTAGCACAAAAGCAGCCGCAGACAAGAAGTAAATGAACACCTGTAGCTGTATTCCAATGAAGTTTTATTTTATTTACAAGCTGTAGGCTGGATGTGGCTTTTGAGCTGTAATTTGCCAGCCTGCTTCTTCACCAAACCATAAAGCCAAACAGGACTCTCTCGTCCCTGCTCTGACCTGAAGGCCTGGATCCCTGAGAGCCCATCACCTGGGGCTCTGTCCTTCCTCTGAGCTCCTCTAGTACTTTCTGTCTGGGATTTCACAGCTAGGACATCCTGTTTGACTACCCCTTTTGCGGGGAGGGAGGGAGGGAGTGGGGAGTGGGACCAGCCCAGAGAAGGCGTAGGTCAAGTGCTGGAGTCAGGGGCAGTTTCCAGAAGAGTGAAGACTGCAGAGTCAGGGTGTTATAGGAAAAGCTGAGGCCCACCAGGGAGAGAAGCCAGTCTAAGTTCAAAAGAGCCAGGGCAGAGCCAACATCAGAGTCTCAGGGCCAAGAGTTTGGAGCTGGGCAGAGATAAGAACTGAGTTACAGCCCTTTCAGGCAGGAGGCAGGCAGCCTTGGGGTTGGCAGCTGTCCTTTAGGGCCAGCTGATACATGGAGTTGGGCAGGGGTGGATTGTCTTAAAGGGTCAGACTCAAAACAGGCAAAGTAGGCAACCTCTACCAATGGGTATGGTCAGAAATTTCTTTCTTTTTCTTTTTTCCATCTTGCTTCCCCAGCTAGCCTGATGCCCACACCACTGGGATGAGGGGCAGGGAATCCTCCATAACCAGGCTGGAGTCAGGGAAGCTCCTATGAGGTTTTAATCCAGGGTACAGGGAAGCCATTGACTCTCAGACAATCAAGCAGGTTCTCAGGAAAGAGTACAGCTCTCCAGGCCAACTCCACACCCCTGCACTTATGCATCGGTGCATTAAAACCAGTTGCCATCGAATCAGTTCTGACTCATGGCAACCCCATGCGTGTCAGACAGAATAGAGCTGTGCTCCATAGTGTTTTCAATGGCTGATTTTTAAGAAGTAGATCTCCAGGCCTTTCTTCTGGCATTAATACTACTCAAGTGTTCATTATTTCTACACAACAGGTACTTATCCTAGGTGTTTTCACATTCAGTATCACATTCAGTGTAACATTTCTGTACAGAGGGTACTGTAATTCTTATTTTACAGATGAGAACACAGAAGTCCAGAGAAATTAAGTAGTTACACTATCAGGGAAAGGAAAAGCTGGGATCTGAATGCAAAGGGGTCCTCTCCACAGCTTGCATCCTGATCACTGAGCCACATGGCCCTCCT